ACTATCATTTGACAAAAGTACACGTAAGCCCATTCAGTCAATTTTCCCTCAGATGCATTTGGGTAAAATACCTTATATTAACCAAGTACTCTAACACCTAGCTCAAATGGACTGTGTTCCTAAAAGTAATCTTCTTAATTATTCAACATATTCACACTATACAGTGCGGAAAATAAAGGAAGAATAATCATACTTTGTTTCCCACTTCATTTTCTAACCCTGCTTCCTGGTTAATTCAATCTATTGGATCAGTGGGAGGGACATAGGATAGATTAAAAAAATGTTGACTCTCTGAGAACCAGGGGAGTTGAATTAATGTTCTTTTGCACAGAATGGAAGCATTCGGGCCACAGAGTGCAGCTCTCCTTGGAAAATTACTGTCAAAACAGTACCATCTCTATTAACACAGCTGCTGACTTGTGAAGCAGAAATCAGATTTTACTTGAGCTAACCTTCAAAAAGCAGAGTGACTACTTACTAATACTCTTTCTTGCCTCACCAACAACATTACACGTCACACCTGTACAACTCCATAAGTGCTACTGTAGGATGTGACACCCTATAGACCCCCTTATGAAAATGTGAAGGAGGCAAAGTTATGTTCATCCAGCCTGGTAATTGCTATCGAGATCCCTTTTTCCTCCTGTAAAAAGGGAAAGCACATTTGATAGAATACCTTTCATATAAATAATGTAGGTTTCACAGTATGAGCTTACTGCTCAATTTGCCTGCATTTCAGCAGATTTCCAAGGCAGAAGTTCTGTCCTCATATATAATCAGATACAGACATTTCCTTTAAATATTTTTCCACAGATGTTCTAGTTTGCTTCCCCACCAATTTCCACAGGAAATAGTGAGGACGTCTTATCTGCCATTTCTTTACACGCAAGCTAAGAACTGTTTTATCTGAACAGAATGTTAAAGGCTCAATGTTAAGCTCTAAGAAGAGGCTGAAGCTAAAGTTTTATCTACATTAAGTAAGATTGCCTCCCATAAGCAACCTCTTGTTTCTGCAGAAGCCCATGCTTGCCTCAGCACGTGCCAGGAAGGAGAGTTATGAGGAATTCTGCTGAAACAAGATACTGTTGACTTACACTGTTAAAAAATGACAAATTTTGGTCTTCTTTATATATGCTGGATGGTGTCCAATGAAACAGAGACTTAAAACTTATTAAAAAAAAATTGCATGGATTTATTAAGGTCCTTAGGGAAAAGTAATGTAATTAAAAAAAAAAATAAAACCGGTACTGCTTTGTCAAGAGAAATTGTTAACTTTCTGATACTTTTACTAATAAAAAATGTATTCATCCTGCATAAAGACGGAAGCAGGGCTCCTACATAAATAATGTGACCAGTGCAGATTGTTGTGATGAAGAACATCAGGATACTGGTGGAATGAGCACCTTCTAGTCAAAATTAGTTGATTCTTGAACATGTCTATTACAACTCAAGATCCCTGCTGCATAGGCTTTTCCTTTCCATATGCATCAGAATTTACACGATTCAAGTTTTTGAGTCACAAGAGATTTTGAGTGCTGAAAAGAAGAAACATTTAAGAAACCTGTTTTACACAGGACAGGTCTGAAAAAGCGTGCTATTGAAAGGTGTCCAGACTGGTACGTTTGTTTTTGCTTCTGTATGGACAGGGAAATGTTTAGGTTGTGCATATGGTGCACATAAATGTACCCTTAAGCAAGAAAGTTGCACGAGTGGTTGGAAAGGGTTTGTCCTACATTCAGGAAAATCCTATTCCATAATGCTGCTACCATTAGGATATGCATTCTGTGGCTATATTTGGGAAATACGTGAAGAATATACTTTTTGAGTTCCATGTATTCACTATATATTTCTGCAGCCCTTTAAAAAAAGATTCCTCGTTCTTCTCAGCTTAAAAAAAGGAACAATTTGCTCAAAATTTACTGTCTTTTACATCTGCTTTCTCTAAAAAACCTGAGGAAGAACGTTGGAGTTTCCCCTTGCTGTTAAATATAAAAGCTTCAAGGTTTCTTTGAAAAAGAAAACTGATGAGCTCAGTTTAGAGCACGTAATTGCTGCCTTTACTACCACAGGAGTCAATACAATGCCAGTAGCACAGACAGGGCAGTTACTTAATAAAGACCAAGTACATGGTTGTTGTGTCAGAGATGGTAATTAAGCATATTCATACTAAAACTTAATGAAGCATTTATTATTATATTTTTGTTTACCTTGTTACTTGGATTACTCCATTTATAAATTTTACAGCAAATTTTCTGTTAAATGCTGAAGCTTTGACTAAAGTCACCTGGGAATCCAGTGCAATGTGAAAAATTTGTGCAAATCAGACACATCTCATTGGGCACTTCAACCTTTTTTTTTTAATAAATAGACAGCATTACAATTTTGCAACACACGGTAGGGAATGAAAGCTACCATTCAGACACTTCAGTTCCTAATTACCAGAAGATAAATGCACATAAAATTATTAAGCAAAAGAATCAGAAACACCGTCAAAAAGCAATAAATGTTCCATAGGAAATGAATTTGGTAAATTTTAAGGGCATTATAATTAATCACCATGACTTGTTCATGAATTATAACTTGTTCTGCACTTGGTTACAATTATTTTGATGTAATGCTTTTTATCAGTGAATAAAATTATTCAATTCCATTTAACTATCTAAAGCAATTTGCAAAATCTAAACTCTCAAATATCTCTCCTGTTCGTCTCTTTCAGTTCATTTCTCCCATCCAGATTTTTATGAGTCATTGAATTATTTCTAAATCTCAAACACATTTGGGTGACTATCTTACTTACAAAACAACTGTAAAAAGAGGGACTCGTACTGGATTATTAAACTGATGACTGTAAATCTCTGTATAAAAGCCTTTTTATAACTTATTTATGCACGACTTTCTCAAATCTGCTGAGGGGCTGGTATTGACCTACAAAGAGAAGGTACTCTTCAATCCCTGCTGCTGCAGAACTTGCCTTCCAAAGGGCTCAGAATGATTTAGCTATTAATAAATCGAGAATATGTTTGTCGTAAGGAAATTACTTCTTACCTACAAAACAACATTACAATTCTGTCATGAACACAGAATTTTTTTAAAGGTTTTTGAAGCTGGAAATGCCTTTTGGCTTTCATTTACTTTCTTTGCCAACAGGAAGGGAAAAATAAGGGAGTGGAAAGGTCTGGAAACAGCATAATTAGGTCTGTTAAAGAGATATGAAACATTGCTTTGGGGGAAGAAAACATGCTATTTGCAACAGAAAAATGTATAATGGGTAATAGAAGATCCGTTGCAAGGGAAAACGAGCTTTTGCCTGCACACTGGGATAGAGGGAACAGAGGTATTGGCACAGAAGTGCCTTTTCAGTCTTCTAGTCAAACACTTAACTGGGAGTGTCAAACTCTACCACAGAAAATAAAACCACATGGGACACATTTTCTTAACGTACTCACAGAACATACAAAATGTTTTGGTGATTAATATGGAACTAAACTGTGTGTGAATGCAGCTTGTGCCACCAGTCACAAGTGATAAACCTCCTGAGGAAGATGTAGACAAGCTGGTGCTAGAAGTCTTCCTTCATCCCAGGCAAAGTCAGGGGAAGGAAATCATTGCAGCATCTGTAGGACCTGCCCCAAAACCCAAGACAGTTTGTCAAAAGAATACCCACTGGATTTACAAAGAGGAGGCTGGCAGGATCTTCACAACGTGAAGGCGGTTCTCCCCACCATTCTGAGTGGAGAAATCATCCTTCCTCCTAACACAACATCAGAAAGGCTGAATTGGGCCACAGCAGTGTAAGGACATTGTCACACCTCCTGCTAACACCCCCTTTGGCTGCTGGGGCTCAGGGGCTTCCTCTCCTTTCACGTAACCACCTCAATGGGGCCGGGAAAATTCACAGATCAAAAGGCTGCAATTCAGCCTCACGAGGTAAAGTACTACAACCAGGAAAGAAAACCCTGTACATAAGAAAGCCATGAAACTGCTGCAGCCCTGGGGCCAAGGGCTGCCTCAGGAGACCACAGGGTTTGGGGAGGCAGCACAGCAAACGTGAACCTGGAAGGCAAACCCACTTGGCCACAGACTTTCCCACTAACACTGGGAATCTCATCGAGTGCTTGAAAATTTAAAAATTTGGCATATGCCTGTTTAAACAATACATCACCAGTATCCACCTATACCAAGGGCTGTGTACACCAGACCTCTTGTAGGATTGTCTTGAGCAGAGTATTGACTCTGAACTGGCTCTGAGCTCCTTTCACAACCATCTGACATTCAATTCCACATCTTGTGTCTCATCTGGGAATAAATACCTTGTTTTGACAGGCTGTACAGCTTCCTATTGTAAAACTTTCCTTTTCTTCTGGCAACTGCTCCACTTCCTCAACTCCTCTCACTTTTTCATTATTTTTAATAGTAGAGATAGTGACTGCATTTCCAATTACTTTTTGGTAACAACTCTAGTGATTTTGGGACACAGGTGCCATTCTAGCTGTACCTGTGACTCTTTGCATTTGGTACCTAACATCCACTATTACTGCTAATTAACTGCAGTTTAAATCAGTGGCCTCTTCTTTAGATTGTGTCAGCAGGGGACACATACTTTTGTTTTATACATTTCTGCAATCCAAGACAGGTATTTGGAAAAGTCTTCCTCCAAAGAGTCATTTACATTGGAAAGGATCTTTAAGATCATTGAGTCCAACCATTAACTAAACACTGCCAATTCCACCACTAAACCACGTCTCTAAGCACATGACGAATAGATCTGTTCAAAAACTCAAACAGCACTGAAAAGGCAAAAATCAGTATCTATTCAGATACTGATTATTCAAGCTGGCATATCTGAATTCTAAAATAAATTAAAAGTAAGTTAATAACTTGTATGAAATAACCACTTTTTTCCTACTTCACTGAAATAAAACCAGACACTGGAAAAACCACAAACACTGTATAGCTAAAATGTAACTGTGAAAAGAAAAAAAGAAAACCCAGTGTACATATTAAGTGATTACCTTATATTTATTCATTAGCTTAACCCTTTCAAAACAGCCCACCCACTTACTGGAATGTACAAGACTGACAAACTCCAACATCATTTTATAATCTCTTGTGTTTTCCTTGGCAGAGACCACAGCCCTCAAAAGGTAAAGTAACAATGAGAAAAAGGGTGCGAGGGAGTAAGATTGGGGCAGCTTCACAAGGGGGTACGAGGCTGAGGGTGACCCTGGCACAGGCGGTACCCTCACTGACAAGGGCGCAGTCACACTCTGTCTGGAGATGGCAGACAGAGATGGGTGATCGTAACAGAGTCCACCCACAGCCCTAGACATGGTATGTGAGGAACTGGTTCAGGGTCCTTCCAGGCAGTCCAGTCGGGAGCAGCAGGAGACAAGCCTGGAGACAGTTCTGGAGAGAAGGTTACAATGCAGTTTGAAGGTCCGTGTGGGTGACAGGTTCACCTGCAGATACTGCTCAGGGCAGGGCTGGGGCTGCTCTGGGAGACTAAGGCCTGTCAGTGCCCTCGTGCTCCCGACAAACTATTATTTAGATACAACATACTTTAATAAAACGTACAGGCATTTAAACAAAGTGCTGATGATATTAAAAGCCTTATCCAAGACAGTAGCACTGTTTCTGGATTTTGGCCTGTTTATTACTGTTGTTTTTTTGCAACTTGCACTTCTTTTTGATAATGTGAAATAATCTGAGCAATTATGAGGCTATTAATAAAGAGGAAAACCAAGCCTGCCAACCATATAAGTAAAAAAGTGTTATATCCTTTGAACTCCAAAAAGTAGGCAGGAGCAAGCCACAGGCCTTGTCCAGCAAACCACAGAAAGAGAAGCAGCATGCCACGACGCCAGGGCATCTTAAGACTGGGCATTATGAGGGGTAAAAGGCAGAGGTACCACACAAAGTACTGGGATGTGCATACCTTGTTAAAACTCACAAAAATAGCAGTGTGTAGGAAACAACAGAAAGCAAGGTCTCTGTAAAATGCTACGGACACAGCCAGGAGCAAAAGCAGCTGGGGGAGGAAAGCTGCAAGCCCAAGGGCAAAACTCCATTTGCTCTCTGCAGTTAAGTACAACATGTAGAAATAGGGAGAGAAGTTGTGACGGATATCCCTCCTGGTCAGGTGGTAGAGGTAGGCATGCTCCAAAAAATCCCAGCCGTAGAGGTGATAAAATGTTACAGTCAATGCAGCCAGCACAGATCCAGCAACTGTTCCAAAAAGCAGCACATCGCGGTTCGGAATCTTTACAAAAAGGTGCCAGAGGCAGCCTACACATGTAAATTTTGCTTTTTTGTCACCCCCCGTACCTGCTGCCCCTTCCCTGCCGCACCGTCTGCTCTGCAGGTGGAGCGCTATGGGCAGCGCGTATGTCAGTGGGTATATTTTCATGTGCACAGCCAGCCCGTAGCAGGCTGCGGCCTTCCCTATGCTCCCCGCCTCCACCAAGTACAACGTGAAGAGCACCAGCAGCACCCCCAGGGCCTCCGCGTTGCCCCGGCTGGAGACGGCCATGGGCAGCGGGTTCAGGAGCCAGGCGGCGGCGCAGGACCCGCAGGCCTGACCGGCGGCGACCCCTCGGAGCCGCAGGGCCCGGTAGGCGACGGCAGCAGCCGCCAGGTCCCCCGCCACGAAGAGCAGCTTCCCGAAGACCTCGGTCAGGTAGACGTTGGGCGTCAGGAGCCAGGCCAGGAGCGGGGTGTAGCGGTAGGTGGCCCGCCGGTAGGGCGACCGCCCCTCCGTCACCAGCCGCGCCGCGTCGGTGAAAACCCGGTAGTCGACGTCGGTGTACCGCACCCGCATGGCTCTGTCCTGCAGCAGGCCGTACAGCACCAGGCCCAGCCTCGCCACCAGCCCGGCGCCCAGCGCCGCGCCCACCCCCGGCCGCCCCACCGCCATCTGCCCCGCACGACCCAACCGCCGCCGGTGAGCGCGGATGCCCCGCAACGGCAGAGGCGCTCGGCCTCCGCTTCCGCCAGGGGGTGGGGAGTGGGGGGGGGAGGCGGCACTGCGCATGCGCGCGGCAGCAGCAGCCGTTGGCCGGCGGCGCGTGCGCGGTGCGGCCGTTGAAGCCGTTGCCCTGGCCCGGGCGGGAGCGCCGAGCAGCGGCCGTTCCCTCAGCGGGGAGTGCCGGCGGGAGGGCGGGGCGGGGCGGGGCGCGGGTCCCGCTCATTACGGGATGGTTCCCTCAGAGCGCCCAGGCGGTCAGGGCTGCGGGACTGGGTGTCCGCCCCGCCCCTGAGGCAGCGGGATGCGGGCAGGGGGAGCGCTGCCCAGCTGCCCCGCCGCGGTAACGCGTGTGCGGACGGGAGGCGGCGTGTGGAGCTGCGCGCCCGTGCCGCGTTGGAGTTGGGGCGTTGTTACTGTGGGGGTTTATATTTATTCCGATAGGCTGCGGTGCCCGGCCGCAGTAAGCGCGGTCCCGCACCGCTGGCCGGGAGCCTTGCTAGAGGATGGGCACCTTTGTCAAGGTGTAGAAAGAACTGCTGGGCCCCGCACCGCTGCTGCGCCTTCACCCCCTCCAGGGTAGGGAGCAGCCCGCAGCGCGGCTCCCTAAGGCTGTATGGGCAGAGAGGCAACACATGCAATAGCAGTTAAGTGAGAAGAAGGGGGAAAAATAACATCTGTTATTTACCTTCTGCAAATGGCTGTTTTGCCTAGACCTATGAGCCTTCTCTAAAGCACTTGGGTAAGCTTCCTTCCACAGTAATTTTCTCATTTACTTATATCAGAAAGTGCCATAAAAAACAGACCTTAGAAAGAGTTCTTTACAACAAAGAAGTTAATTCCCTGTATTTTTAGGGGTTTTGTATGTTTTTCAAATAGTTTCCCTGTCTAGATATTTGCTATAGATTGTATCTCACATTTGAATTGTGGCTCACTGAAGAACAGGTATTTATTACTTACCAATATTATGGGTTTCATATTAGAATTGAGTAAGGTTTTCTCTAGAGACACTTTATTAATTAAAAAAAAAGTGCATTTGCTTGTTTAGTAGTTAATTGCAACTGCATTCTTTTTGCTGAATGGTTTCAGCTGAGAACATTTTGGGAGCTACTGCTTTGCTGGCTCACATTGCTTAAAGAAAAGAATCTGCTTTTTCTCTCTTCTGGGGATGCTCATCAGAGAACTGGGAGCAGACTTTTTTTCATTTGGCACAGAAGTCTTGGAGGGTGTCCTAACTGTTAGGCTACTCAGGGGACAAAAGATATTTCTGTTTGTGTGCACACAGCTATCCATTTTTATCTGTTAAGACTGTTTTATTTTGCATAATAATACAATGACATATAGGCTGTCAGTTGCATAGCAGGGAGAAGCATAGTAACTAATTAGGCTGGAGAATTAGGTTTTCCTCTGTCTGTATAGGTCACCAGATATTTACATATTATACAGTAAACTGGCCATCTTCAACAGGAAAGCTCAAGAGACTTCTATATGACATCAGGTCCTAAAAGTGATGGTTAGAGTATTTTTGGGATAGGGCATGAGGGTGGTTTTGCTCCTTTGTAAATAGTTGCTTACTACTGCTGTTGTACTTTAGAATAGGAAAGATTTGTAAACATTGTTTTATCTCCTTCTTACATATCTTGTACTATAACGGTTAGGATACTTTTATAGAAGGCTATGTCACCTTATCCTTTTATGTACTTTGATAACCCAAGATATCCTCTGGAAATCCTAGAAGACAGAAACTTAATAAAATCACAGGGACTGAAATTTCTTGATATTCCATGGAACTACAAGTCTAAACAAAAGAATGTATGCAGATACTCCTAAAATTTTTGTTTCAGGAAGGTTATTGCTCGCAAAGAACTGTTCTTGGCATCTGCCTATTTCTCCTAGGATTATTTGTGATTCTTCTGTTGCTTCTTTGGATGGAATATATTTTATTATTTCAGATCCTTTGAATCAACTGTTTATTGTCAGAACAGAATGCATTGCAGTTTATTTGCTGAAGTGTCTAAGTTTAGTGATTTTGGTTTAATAATACTACTTAAATAAATAAACAGGAGTTTGCAGGTGTCAACTGTTTTTTGTCTGTTTCTGACAGTCTTTTTTCAGACAAGTCTTTTATTCTCATCTGAAGTTAATAGAAATTGTGAAGCTGTCCGAAGTGACTGTTTATCTGGATTCTAAAGAGGAAAAGGTAGGTAATTTAATTCTAAAGGGTTGTGAAGTTAATAAAACATAAAAGCTACCATAGCTATTGTTGTATATACTGTGACTGTATGATATTGCTTGAGCTGGAAAAAGAATTGATTTTCCTTATCAATAATTTAACATCTTGAAAATAAGCTTGAAGCTCTTCAGAGAACTAAGGTTTGGCTCAAAAATGTGTTTGGCTTCAGATTTGATACCAGCTTGCTTAACCTGATTTGTCATGTACTGTAGATTTCAATGCAGGAAGGAGAACAGTCTTATTAAAGTTATAAATCTGTTATTTCTGAAAAATGCTGCTTTTATTTATACAAGCCACCAGGAGCCACTTTTAGAAAATGCTAGGAGATAAAAACTAATAGAACTGCTGGGACTGATTGATTCCGGGGCACATGAAGATACAAACAGCATGAAGAAAAGTGTGGAGTCAGCCAAAACCGTGCATAAAATATTAACTAAATAACAATGCATGTATACACATCTATGCACATGTATATAAACATTCTTTCCCGTTACCTACCATGCATTTTGTTTGCGCAGTCTTGAAGATGGTACCATCTGATCTTTTATAAAGTAGGGTTACATTATGTATGTGCTTCTGTTGTGTACCCATGAGAGGGGATGATAAGCCTGTTAACTTCTCTCATCTTAATCTTATGTAATGGAGACTACTTCGTCAGCACTGGGACATATATTCCAGAAACTACCTCACACGCCCTGTCATTGCTTAAGATTTACACAGCAGTAGCAGCAGTGCAAGGACAATGAAACTGGGGCCTTGTTACGTGGAGTGCTCTATCGTATAATGGAAGGTTTTACCATCTGAAAACCAAGGTAGGGCGGGTCCAGAGAAGGGCAACAAAGCTGGTGAGGGGTCTGGAGAGTAAGTCTTACGAGGAGAGGCTGAGGGAGCTGGGATTGTTCAGCCTGGAGAAAAGGAGGCTGAGAGGAGACCTTCTCACTCTCTACAACTACCTGAAAGGAGGCTGTAGAGAGGCAGGGGCTGGTCTCTTCTCCCAAGTAACAGGCGATAGAAGAAGAGGAAATAGCCTCAAGTTGCGCCAGGGGAGGTTTAGGATGGATATTAGGAAATATTTTTACAGTGAAAGGGTTATCAAGTGTTGGAATGGGCTGCTTAGGGAAGTGGTTGAGACACCATCCCTGGAGGTATTCAAAAGGCAGGTTGATGTAGTGCTTAGTGACATGGTTTAGTGATGGGTTTTTATCAGAGTTAGGTTGATGGTTGGACTAGATAATCTTAAAGGTCCCTTCCAACCTAGACAATTCTATGATTCTGTGTTCTGTGACATAAGTCTTTATGCATAGAAGGTAGAAGGAAAGCTGAGTACTTAAGATATATAGGAAGGAAGATCTTGGACAATAGCTGATGTATGGACTTCAGACTTCTGAAAGGGGAGATTACTGTAATTTTTTAGAGTTCCCATTTAATTTATTGGGTTTTGAACCCAGAATGTTTCCTTACATGAGAAATACTCCTACTTAATATATTTATAAAGTGTCAGAAAATTTTTTATAAAGTGATTAGTACAATCTGGTTTTTGCAGCACATGAAATTTGATCGAAAAAGTGACTAACACTTATGTTAGATATTTTGGGCTTGATAAAATAAATTGTTTTTGCAAATATGATTGATGCCTTTCAAATATTTGTAGTGTGTTGAACTTTAAATATTATTGGCAGAAGGAAAGTATGGTTAAGATTATGTAATGAAGTGTTCATTCCTGCTTTAATACTGAAATGAACAATACAGGAGGTTTTGCAAAAATAAGATGGAAAAACACATTAGAACTCTCCACAGAAGAAAAGGACTATTATAAATATAAGGCCATTACTACTCCCTTAAGTTTTTTCTGTTAATGTGTTTACTTAACACGGCTTGATAAATCTATACCTTTATTCACACATTATACTAAAAATGTGGATATTCAGAGAACATGATCAGACTTGTAAAAGATTTTTTTTTTTTCCCACTACATTATGGTTTTGCACAATATGGTTTAAGTGGTGTTTGCCAAGTTCTGCTTGGAGTGGTTATGCTGATTGTGTGTCAGTGTGCTAGGTAAAATGCTAGCCCTTCAGGGAAAATAAGTACTGGATAAAAATTAAGCTGTAGGGAAACCTGTTCAAAATCAGCATTTTGGAAAAAAGACTATGGCTGAGAAAACACACGTGGCAAGTTAGTCAGCAAGAGTTAGTTCACTCAAGTATGATGCTGGCCTAGGGAGACATTCCAGAAAGTATTGTCTGTTTTGATTTGAGGCAGTGGTGTATCTGATGTGCGATATGGTTAAGGGAGTTACCTGCTTCTAGGTTGGGAAACGCCCAGCTCTCTCACTGCCTGACTTGAAATGCCAAACAGAAGTGTTTTATGCCTTTTTACATTACTGCTATAGCAGTAGCTAGTGGGGCAGGCAGCTTGGTGGATTAAGTTTCCAGAAATGGGAGTATGCAACAAAGAAATTATTTGAATTTCCTTTGCTTTTTTTTATCTGTTTATTTCTGCTAACAAAAAACATGCATAGAGCGAGCTGATAAAATCCCAGGTAGGAGAGAAACTGGAACCCTGAGAAATTATGGATTTAAGAGGTTATTGGAAGATGGAGAGTTCCTGGCACAGGACTGCTGATTTTGAGCATTTTACAGAGCCCAAAGACACACGCAGAAAGTATGACTTTCTAGCACCTGTAAAAGGCTAAGTCTAATTGTGTTAAGCATAATTTCTTGTCAATTTTTGAAGGTGTAAGTGAAGCAATAGGTATTGAGAACTGGTGAAGTCTCCGACAGGATTTT